CTTTTCAGTTGCATCTTATTTTTATAATCTAACAAATAAAAATATACTTATTACTCCCTTAATTGAACATAACCTTTGAATTGTGAAATTAATTCAAAACTCTTGGAATTAAAACTTTTAGACTATAAAAAAAAAAATCGTAATTCTAAAACTTTAGTACTTGTGAAATTAAAGAAATAGGCGAGACCGAGGGAGAGTTCAAGTTTGTTGAAATGCTTGGTTTCTAATTGGTCTTCCACTCTGGATGTTAATGATGTTTTCAGCACTAATAATTGCTGGGGCTTTAGCATTTTAACCATTTTATCTTGTTTATGAATATGCATGGGATATCTTGAATGAAAAATTATTATATAGTTTGGATTAGATATAAAAGTTTTTAGATCGATGAGAGGTGAGTTTTTTAATATTGGGCTTTTCTCTTATTTAAAAAGTTTTATTTTTATAGTTTAGTATAGTTTAAAATGTAAAACAACAGACTCTATTTGGAAATATGTGGAACTTTTCCTTTGAATATTTTACTGATATTTTGACCTCCAAATAAATGTAAATGGGACCTTGGCTGCTTATAAAAGGAAGAAAATTTCACAAGTATGAATTAAAAAATGGCTAAATAGGCAATACTATAGTTATTATGTCATATAAGATTATAAATTTATAATTATAATATATCACAAGCTATGTCACTTGTGTTTTAGCCTAAAACGTTTCTAATATAGACAATGAGAGATAGAAGGTAATTAGGGTGAAAAGAGATATATAATGATAAATAGAATATAAAGAGTACTAAAAAAAATAATATAGAAGGAAAGATTTTTATGATAAAAAAATATAGAATGAAAGATAAAGGAAATAAAAGAATAATAACATAGTGATAAGTTGAATTTTTATACATATTAATGTGGAATTGTTGCCTTGATGTTATTGATATTTGGATGAGTTTTATAAGATTTTATTGAGTTTTATACGGTTTTCATTCTTTGAGCAAAAAGGACTTGAATGCATAAAAGAAGAATTTTTGAGATTAATTGAATATCCTTTGAAAGTTGAGGGACTGAATTGCAAGAAGAAGGTCGATTATTTGGGACCCTAATGAATGAATCTTGAGTTTTGGGATCTAAATGCTCATTATACAAAAGATGGAGGACATATATGTCATTTTAGCATTGAAGAAATTGCGGGAGGAGCTTAGACGACACGAGTGTAGTGTCGACACATAATCGGGGTATCAGCACCATGCATGAATCGTCCAAAATCAAACTTTTCGTTTTCTGTTTTGTGTTGTTAGCACCATATGTTCAACGTCCAACATTCAAGTTTCATATTCTGTTTTAAATTTTACTTTTATTCTAATTAGAATTTCTAAAACCTTATAAATATCCATCTAAATTTAGAATTAAGGTAGCTGGTGGCAGCTCTCTTTTAAGCACTCTTGAAGATTAAGATCAAGGATCCATTAACAGTAGGAAATCAAAGAGTTCAATTTTCTCAAATTGATATCTTAATGTTCATAACTGTGATTTTAAATTTTATTATTTTTATTATGAATTAATTTATATTACTAGGACTACGATGTAATCTAATCAATTCAATATAGATTTTGTGATTTTATGCTTTCAATTAAAATTATTTGCATGAGGAGTTTATATTATTGAATTTAATGCATTGGAAGCATGATCACCTTTCGATTGATTTAATGATTTATGTATAAACTTGAGAAATAATTACGTAAATTAGATCAATAATGATATAAACCGTGTGCTAGACTATAAGATCGAGAGGAAATTAGCTCACATGTGGTAGTGGAGGAAGAGAAGAGAGTTAGGAGCTTCCCCTTCTTAAGCTAGAGGTTTCCATAAAATTACATGCTCACTAGTTTGTTTAAAATTACATATAAATATGATTAATTTAACAAACCAGTAAACTATTAACTTGATTTGAGAAAGTTGGTTAGTTAATTTAGAGAAATCCGCCATCACATGCAATAACACTCAACAATTTAATAATCCAAAATTTATATTAATTGATTATGGTGAAGTTAATGCCTTAATACCTCATATCTTGATTAACTTTATTCTAATTGTTATTTTCTTTTTATTCTTCATTAAAGTTTATTCCTCTTCTTAATTGTTCAAATAAATTTAGATTAATTATTTTGATATTAATTAGACACAATCCTTGTGGGTTCGACATTCTTTTTATCATTATATTACTTGAAGCGATTAGTACACTTATTAGGGTTATTTTAGTGCATCACATATAAATTACCAATATACAGAGAGAGAAAGTGAATGCAAGTGTAAGGTAAAAAATATATATAATGATAGAATATGAGAAGCAAGATAAGAGATAAAATTCAAGAAAAGTAATAAAAAGTAGATTAAGTAAGTGAAAATGTATTGAGATAATATTGTTAAGAAGCTATCTTCGAATCTTATGTTTTGATATAAAATATTTCCAATATAGAGAAAGGGAAAGAAAAAATATTTGGGCTTAAAAAAGATATAAATAATTATATATTGAGATGCAAAGAATGGCAAAGAAATAATAATAGAAATGGAATGATAATGGGAGAAATAATAATAATAACAAATAAAATACTAATAAAAAGTGAGAATTACTAATATAGAGGGAAAAGATGACAAAAGTATGACATAGAGATAAATATAATGATAAATTGTGATAAGGGATTAAGAGATTGAGTTACAAAAAAGACAAATAAAAAATGGAGTAAATGTAAGTAAGAAAAAGTATCAAAGAACAGTAATAATAATAAGTTAAGAATTTTATATTTTGACTTTAAAATTTCTAATATAGAAAGTAAGAAAGAGAGGGAAAAAATAGGGTTGAAACAAAGAGATATATAATGATGATAATGACTAAAGAAAAAAAGAGAAGGGATGATAATTGGAGAAAGAATAACAAAAAAATAAATCACTAATTTATAGGGTAGAGAGATAAATATATAGATAAAATGTTGAGTGAGAAGCAAAGACATTTAGTTTCAAGAAAAGTTATTAATAAGAGAAGTGAAGTAAATGTAAATGTAACTAAAAAAGAATTAGAAATTAATGTTAAGAAATTGTATCTTTTATGTTTTAGTCAAAAACATTTCTAATATAAAAAATTGAAAAAAGAGGAAATTAGAGTAAAACAAAATATATAATAGTAAATGAGATGCAACAAGTAGTGTTGTAAAAAGCATGCTTAGGCGGTGTCTAGGCTCTAGGTGATGCCATTCTGCCCGTATCATCTTAGGCTCTAGGTGATATCATCTCACCTGCAAAAATTCAATGCGGTTTACACCACTCAGATCAATTAAGCATGCCTAGGCACTATTAGGTGCGTTTAATGGCACCAAAAGTGCTTGAGCAAATGCTTTTTATTAATTTTTTAATCTAATGAAATGATATTATTTAATTTATTATAAATTTTATATTAAAAAAAAACATTAAATGCCAAGTAATTCTCTTAAATTTTACTCTTTAGACATAATTATGAATAGAAAAATGTTTAATTTTTTTATTTATTTTATAATTTTTAAAATTGTTTTACATTTTTTTCTTATTTTTTTATAATTATATCAAAAAATTATTATTAAAGAAAACTACCTAAGCCACCTAAGCACTGCCTATGCACTCTAGGTTCTATGTTGTGGGCAACCACTCACCATCACTTAGCGCTTTTTGCAACCTTGGTAACAAGTAACTAATAAAGAATATAACATAGAAGGAAAGATAAGGAGATGAAAGAACAATTAGGATCCATGTATCAACAACTCTTATATTGCTGACATAAAATCTTAATTATTTATTTTTTTATAATAAATGGTTTTATCCACTTTTCATCCTATTTTTTAAAAATAATTTACTTTTCATCTAAAAAGGCATCATAAATCTTACATAACTCCATACTTTAACAGATGAAGTAAAGGCAAATGCAAAATAACTTCATACTTTAACAAATGAAGTAAAGGCAAATGCAAAATGCTAGGAGAATAATACTAAAAAATTGTGTCTTTTATATTTTGATATAGAACTTTTCTAATAAAAATATGTTGAAATAGAAAAAAAAAAAAAAACAAAAAACAAAACAAAAAGGTCAAAAGAAAGTTATACAAGGATAGATTAAGTCATTAATCTCTCCATGATGAGTGGTTTTATTCACTTTTCATCCTATATGCTTTTTTTAAATAATTTTCCTTTTCATCTAAAATGTCATTATAGACCTTACACAACTTTATATTTTGACACATACAAACACATCAATATATTATGAAAGAGTAAAGGTGAAATAAAGGCAAAACAAAGTAATAAAAGTATAAAATAATAATATAAAAAATATCAATTTAAATACGAAAAATGAGGAGAGATATATATTAAGTTAAGCCTAAAAATGCATAACAATAACATATGTATATGTTGATGAAATAAACTACATAATTGAAGCTACTTCATAGAAACATATGGATAGAAATACAATCTTAATGTAAGAAATTGAGAAAAATATAGTATGTGAATAGATAGGGATAGGAGGTAATTAAAGGAGATGATAAAAGAGAGAAAAAATAACACCAAGCAATTAATTACCATAGAGACAAAGAAAGGTATAGATGATTGACAAATTTTCATAATTTATTAATATTGTAACAAATTATAAAAATTTGTTTTTATATTTTAAAGTTAAATTCATTAAATTTGTAGGCTTAAATTTTCTTTTGTACT